GGTTAAATTTTAAATGCAATCCATTTAAAATGCACATACTGTACCTCCTAAATGTTTTAATAATGCTCTTGTGCTGTTTCCGTGTGCCGAAATAAGAACCTGTTTCCCCCGCTTTACTTCTGGAGCAATCTCTTCATTCCAGTAAGGAAGAAGCCTTTCGAGGACTTGCTTCAGGCTCTCAGATTTTGGCAGCTTATCCTTCTGTTCGTCACAACTCGTGTACCTTCGATCCGTGTGGATCTCGTGGTAGTAAGGATGGCTCTCATCTATTGGTGGAGGGGCCTCATCATAGCTTCTCCTCCAGAGCTTCACTTGCTCTTCTCCATGGTTCAGAGCCAGTTCTGCTCGGTTAAGGCCAATAAGAGCCCCGTAATGGCGCTCATTTAGCCTCCACGAACTCCGAGTTGGAACCCATTCTTGGTCGAGCTCTTTTAAAATAAGCCATGCTGTTTGGATAGACCGGCTGAGGATGGAAGTGAAGACCATGTCAAACTCAAAGCCTAGAGACTTTAGATGCTTTCCGCACTTCTCCGCTTCCTTAAGCCCATCTGCGCTGAGCTTTTGGTCAACCCAGCTGCAGAATCGGTTTTCTATGTTCCAGGCACCTTCACCATGCCTCAGCATGACTAATTTATATTTTGACATGTTGACTGTGGTGTTAAGTTTCCAGGGGGAGAACTCTTTTGTTCAGGTTTACCTGAAAGGAAAAAAAAAAAAGATTTACGCTTGCTGGAATGGAACCACAAGTGGCTCAGAAGTGCCAAAGTTAGGGTATCAGCACACTGAAAGCTGCAGGAGTGTCATTTCGCAAAACCTTTCCAATTTAAGTTACACACGGGGTCTGATTTATGCAAATACTGAGTTGATAAAAACCAGTGTTTCTTGCCCAAGGAAACCAATAAATTACATGTTACATTCTTGTCGTTCCCAGTGGCAAAAATGTAATTCTGTCCGACTTTCCAAGTGGCTTTTTCTAACTGCATGTGTTCAGCAAAGGGTATGACGTCACTGCTTGACACCCAGAATACTGAGCTTTGTTAAGTAAATGTATATACATAGTGTAACCATAAAGTTAAATGCATTCTTTTCTTTTTTAATTTAGAAATACAAGAGAACATTTTCCAATCTTGAACCCAGTTTGCAAAAACAGTTCTTTGCATAGGTTGTATTTAGGACAAGCAATTAAAATGAAGCCCGATGCTGAATTGAAACACATTCAGCACTCAGCAGAACACAAACCTTAAATAATACACAAGGAAAGATTAAGCCAACAATGACAATGCAATATATGTTACTTTGTGTAAAAATGCAATTGGTAACAGAAAACCCCCCAAAAAAACAAACCCTATATAGCCAAAAAGGTATGTACACATGCTTCCATATGTAGGCAAAATTACAACTGGTACCTATGAGGTTTTCTCTAGTTGTCAATAGAGCTGACTCTTCAAAACAATCCTGCCGACTCCTGGATTGGACAGACCTGCTCCTATATTTCATATTAATTTGTCCACCCTGTGCTTCCAATTTTGTGGCAACAGTTTGGGAGAAGGCCCTTTTCTGTTCTAGCATGACTGTGTCCATGCACAAAACCAGCTTCATCAAGACATGGCTTGTAAACTTTGGTGAAGAGGAATTAGAGAGACCTGACCTCAACCCCACTAAACACCGATGGGATGAATGTGAATACAGATTGTGAGCCAGATCTTCTCATCCAACACGTACTAAATCTGTTATAACTCCAAAGATGACGCAAAGTCCATACTAATTCCCATGGTTTTGAAATGGGATGACCAACAAGCTCCTATAGGTGTTCTACAAACTTTTGTCTATATCTTCCATGTCACATTACTACTGTAACCTATAATGATGTGGAGGCCAGCAGGAGGAATCAGCGAGCTCAAAAAGGGGGACCCAGGAGATCAGCACTCCCCCTAAGTATCTCTGTCCTTGCAGGATTCAAGGAACAATTCCTCCGTATAGGAGCAGTGTTTGGTGGTGTAAGCAGTGGGAAAGAGGAGTATGTACACTTTTCTTTTACAGGTATGCCTTCAGTGAAAATATTTTCTATAATGGCAGGGTCACTTTAAAGTAGCATTAAAGGCTGGGCTTTTTTTACCTTAATGAATTCTGTGCTGTCAATCAAACTGCTGGGCGGAGAGGAGGGGCATGGCCTGCCGCATGACTGTGTGCACGAGTGCCTCCATTGCAGCCACTAAGGGCACGAGGGCCTCCATAGCAGCCCCTGCGGGCACCAGCGCCTCCATAGCAGCCCCTGCGGGCACCAGCGCCTCCAAGGCAGCTACTTAGCTGATAGAGGCACCCTTGCAGGTAGCAGTAGAGCGCGCTGCGGGGATCCACTTGAAAACGAGAACTTTTTAAAGAACAGCATTTCTTATAGAAAGGTGGGCCTCCTAGTTGTGAAATAAAATAAAAAAAAAAAAAAAAAAACCTGAACCTTTAATGTCACTTTAAACCTGTAATAACAGAGCACCGAATGCCCATGGTTTCTCCCGGTCAGATAGAGTGCTGAAGCCATTAGGTTAGCATGACAGCCAGGCAACAAGAATTTTTTAAATGAGGTCACCAATAGCAGCCTACATGTTTCTTGCAGATCAAGTTTCCCATAAAGGTGACCCGTCAGGTTTCACCCCTTCCGATTTTGGGACAAAGCCAATTTCTGCATCATCATGCAGAGACATTTTTTACCCAGAACTGGCAAGAAATCCACGAGATGGGCAATGACCACCTTCAGGATTATTAGCCTTGGTTGTACCTAGAGCTGCAGCTAACGATTATTTTCAAAATCGATTAGTTAGCCGATTATTACGTTCGATTAATTCCCTTTAAGTAAGCTAAATTAGTATGCAGGACGCAATGTTCACCACTAAAACAATCTGTCACCTGCAGAATGTACAAGGATCAGCAAACGAGGTTTTAACCAACTATTATAAACATGACACGCAGACTTCCTGTTCAGCCCCTGGAGGGGAGGGGGACCGACATGAACAGATGTGAATGCAAGGAAGTGACAGATATGGGACACCGAGTTGACAACAAAATAGTTGGGTCTGAAAAACTGAATTTGAAAAATTACACAGAAATAAGGAACACATGAAAAAATGTCACACGCAGAAATCGCCATTGTTGTATAATAAGGGACGACTTCAGGCGATGCTTGTATAAACATGGTGCACCATACGGCATGAGAAAACTAAAGAGTATACACAATCAGGAAATGTTTATTCAATCATCACCGGCTTGCTTGCATTTGAAAAAAGCAATATGGTTATATTAATAGATGATCGGGCGGTAAAAACTGGGGGACGGTCGGGAGAACTTTCCTCATCAAGACAGTGGTCGCTGGAACACATGTCGCATGGGCAGCAGGATCAGTGCACACATTACTTCTAAGTTAAAGTGACATTAAAGTCAAAAAAATGTTTTCCCTCCCCCCAATGTTAGTAAAACACTTACCTTAAAAAGGAAAACTATGGGGCCAGGGCTTTTCCCCATAGTTCTCCTAAGGGTAACGGGAGGACACAAACTAGCGAGAGGGGAGGAATCCCTGCAGGGATAGATCGAGAAGTGATCGAGCGACGGTATGTGTTCGCACACTTACCGATCTACTGAGCCGACCTGTGACAGTTTCATTGTCACAGGTCGGCTCAGATTTATGAGGCTGAGTGAAAATCACTCACCTCATAATTCTCCTTTAAAATGATGTCTCTTAATCCGGTCTTCCTCTCCTTTTCAGCCTTCTCTCCAGCGGGTCTCCGATCCAGCGCCGACTCCTGTCCTTGCTTGCACTTCCTGTCCCATGGTGTCTGCATGCGGATGCACGCGTTCATAGACTTACCTTGCGTCTCTCCTCTTCTCCCGGCTGAAAATACGAACTGCGCATGCACCCACCCGAGCAGTTTCAGGTTTTTCGGACGGAAGCGCAAGACGAAGACAGCGGTAAGTTTAAACCACTTTTAATGAGTTTTAAAAAAAAAACTTTTTGCATATATCAACTGCTTGCCAGCCAGGAGGGTTTAGAAACCCTTCAACTGTCATTAGACCTGGAGCTCCCTAAGCCCTCGTTCACACCTGACCGTTTTGTAGCGCGTTCTACGCTCGACGAACGCTCTACAAAACGGTCATAAATATAAATTGCATTGTAGTCAATGGCCTCGTTCCCACCTTGCCGTATTTCCGCCCGTCCCTAACGCCCTACAAAACGGCCCACGCATGAAAAGGTCCAGGTACTACTTTGGGCCGTTTTGTAGGGCGTTTTCCATTGGGATACAGCCAAGTAGCCTTCGGAATCGCGCGACGGTCGCGCAACTTTTTTACCGCGAATCGCCTAGGAGTGAATGGGGGCTTAAGACTTCTGCTATACAGTCCACAACCAATAGTTCTAGTTGTGCAAGTTGGTGACTTCTGTTTTGTTTTGATACAATGTAGAAGATCGATAAACGTGTTTTCATAACATAACTGAAGGGTTGGTAAAAGCCGACTTGCCCATATTTATCGGTCAAATGTTCAATATTTACTGTGCTTGTGTGAGAACTCCGACTCTATGCCGGTCTTCTCAGGTTCCAGTCTCTTCATAGGTAAAGTGTCTGTGAATCGGACGGTCAGCAGTCCCTGATGAACAATGTGAATTTGGTTTGTGGTGGGAGACACAAGAAAACAAGACTTAGAAGCTGAACTCAGGGGGGGAAAAAAAACGAAAAAGCTCCCCCTGCAGTGCAAGGGTTAAATGCTGATTTATTTCTAGGGTACCTAGGAAAAAGGTACGCGATCCTCAGTGGCCTTCTGACATCACCAAGTAAAAAACGCAGGACCTACAGCCCTACATAATCAGTGAGGACACCGATGGACTGTCCACAACCAACAGAGGTGAGGAGTGCACCTACTGCTAGGGGAAAATGCTTTACCCAGGTACCCTAGACAAAAATCAGTATTGCAGTAAGGGGGAATCCCCTTTCCAAAGGAAGTTTCGTGTCTTCCCCAAAAAATAAGCTTTAAGTAATAGTGAATTAGGTGCACAGATAGCATGTAGCTGAATAACCCCAAGGAGTAAAGGCCACAGACAATATCCCTGATCTGCACGGCCCAATGTAGCCTCCAGCAGGGGAGCGTGTGACGGGGTGACAACGCAGGAGAGCAGTTGCAATACAGTTGTCACCCCCAAAACAAGAAAAGCCTTCAGGGCAGGATCACCAGGCATTCTTTTAAAGCAAAAATTTGCCAAATACAAGAAACGTGTGTATTCTTACATGAACCTTGGTGAGCTTTGTGTATTTCTTCCAGATCTGTGCAGTGATCAAGTGTGAGACTTTGCCCACTGTGCAGGAGCTTCCTGTTATAAAGACCGGTCACCTCTGCTCTCCCTCCTTGTACAGGGTGACTGGTCTTGTCTCCGCCCCCTCCTGTAATAAAGACCGGTCACTGCTGCTCTGTCTCCTTGTGCAGGGTGAAAGGTCTTGTTGAGGCCCCTCTTGTAATAAAGACCGGTCAACCCTGCTCTCTTTCCTTGGACAGAGTGACTGGTCTTGTCTCCGCCCCCTCCTGTAATAAAGACCGGTCACCCATGCTCTCTCTCTCCTTGTGCAGAGTGACTGGTCTTGTCTCCGCCCCCTCCTGTAATAAAGACCAGTCACCCCTGCTCTCTCTCCTTGTGCAGGGTGACTGGTCTGGTCTCCGCCCCCTCTTATAGCTATCTGCAGGCAGCCTGTAGTGGGTGGAGCCTGGTGAGCTCCCACAGCTCATCTCAAGCTATGTGCAGTGTGATGTCACCACGACTCTTACAAGGTAATAACTGGGTATGCACAGGCATTCGTGGAACAAAATGAATTTATAACCTCTGTGGCTATTTAAATGTAATTTTTTGCACCTGGAATATAGCTATAAAAAAAGAACCCCAAGCAGAAGAAATTGTAGCCGTTGCAGTGGGATTAGCCTTGCACTGCAAGGGTTAAAGGTTCATTTTTGCCTAGGGTTGCAAATAACAAAAATATACTCACCCGAGCCGGGTGGCTGCTAGACCGGTCCCTGGAGCCCTTCTCCCCCTTCCCTCTGTCGATTCCCAGGAGTTATGTCCAATACAGTGTATATAACATAAGGGTGCCAAGGGAGAGAGACTGCAAGGACCAGTCTAGCAGATGAGTATATCTTTGTCATTTGGACCCCAGACAAAAGCGAACACTTAACCCTTGCAGTGCAGGGCTAGCCCCATAGCCCCATTGCAAGGGTTAAGATTTCTTCAGCCCAGAGTTGTTCTTGAATCAAAATGGCACATGTTAAACTTCCTATGCGAGTTTAGATTCACTTTAAATATGCACAAGAAGTAGATCTGACCTTCTGTGTCATAAAATCCTTCTTTTCTGCATAGCAGGGGCTGCCCAGACATAATATATAGATTGATTTCTCATAGAGCAGCAGAGGCAAACTCTATTTAGAGTAGAGCTGCAGAGAGTCTGGTAGAAGTGCCCTCTGCTCTCCTCAGCCTGACAGGCTGGAAGGAACCTCAGTAAAGCCCCCATTGCATTCCCTAATGCTGCCATCCATGCACAGAGCAATGATCAGATCAGAGGAGTACTCACCCTCCAGTGCAGGTGCAGTCCAAGCAGAGGTCAAGGCAGGTGGATGTGGTGGGCAGCAGATGGATCTCTTCCAGTGCAGGCTCTATTTTGGGAATGCAGGTCTGTCCTGCCTGCTGCAGCTTCCGCACAGCAGCTCACTGGGGTGGCAGCTGCTCCGTCCTTCTGGCACAGCAGCCCCAGCTTGATGTGTACATCTGCGGGGAGAGAGCTGTGCAGGGCTGCCCTGGATGGACGTGTGTATGTTATTGTACAGAGCACGGAGGCTGTCTGTGCAGCAGCACCGCTCACTCTCCTCTTCTGAGCCTCCCCGCTGCAACCCCGCCGCCTTTTCCCTCTAGCAGCCCGCACTAACTCCGCCCCCGTGTCGCCTTGATAGGCATCCCCGCTGGCCAATAGACGTGAGGAAGGAGGCGGATTTTGGGCTCCTCACACAGAAGGAAGGACTGCTGACGTTACTGCCTGTGCCACTCTCCATAGAGACAGTGTGTGTAATCAAAGAGAGAGATGACATGGGCACTGGCAGAAACTCTATACCAAGAGAGCATATGAGAAATAAACACGGTTTATCAGTGTCCAGCTCAGGCTCTTATTCATTTGTAATATATTATTGCCAAGTATGGAAGTGCTGTGTACATGTAAAAAAAGAAGGAGGTGATATGGGCACCAAAATAATAATGTGTATGAAACATAAAAATGGTGTCTTAGTATTTAAAGATGTAAAAGACACCCCAGCGTTGGGGGAAAGCGGAGAAATGTGTACACATTATGGGAGAATGGCTATCTTCTTCGCATTACTGTATTCTATACTTCAATGCATTCCTTCATCTACATGATTTTTTTTTTCCTCCCGAGTTACTTATATAATATCATGTCTTATGTAAGAAGATGAATGCTGGAGTCTGTCCAACAAATCACCTGTCCTAATGTGTTATGTTATGGTATATTCTGTAAAATAATCTGAATTGTCTGTGGTTTACATATATTTGTTTATTCATTATTGTATTTGGTTTTTTTTTTGTTCTTTTTATTTTTGTTATGTGTAAAGCTCAATAAAAAGTAATTGATAAAAAAAAAGATGTAAAAGACACAAATGAATGCAGCTCTGTATTTATTAATTCATCATTAAAAGCCCGTTCACAACATAGTGTTCTGCTAATCCAGGGGTCCCAACCTGAAAAAAGCAATTTCAGTGTGGTGCAATAGCTAGTCTGCTATTAGCTATTGCAAAGTGAAATAGCCAATAGCAATCTAGCTATGCATACCTAAGCTATTATTTGTTTTTTTTTCTCTGACTGACGGCAGCCCCATGTCAGAAAAAAAAAACACAGATCGCAGGGAAAGGTTTACTCTGCTAGATCAAGCAGAGTAAACCTTTCCGGGAGAAAATGTTTATCTCCCGGGCGGCCGAGAGCTGCTATCTAATAGCGGGGGACTCCATGAGCGTCTGTGAGAGTTGGGATGTCTGGCTAATCACATGATGCTGTGTGATTAAGGCACACGCTAATCACATGATGTCGTGCGATTAATGCACAGCACATCTAGCGTGTTTTACCGTGCATGTGGAGAATGGGTTGGTTTTTTATTTTCTTCATTATTTCTTTAACTTTTTTATTGGGGTACGGCAAGCGGTTAAAGGTCTAATGTTAGTCTTAGGCCTGGTTAACATCTGCACATTCTGAGGGCGACTGGCGATGTGCGTGATCGGCATGTGTCTGTGGTAACGCGCCAAGACGCACTTGCTGTGCCATTGATTTCTAAAGGCACCCCAAATGCGGCCAGCAAGTAGTGAGGTTTTCTTCTGGTTTCCATGCATGCAAAAGCAGCTGAAAAATGCATCCCGCACATCGCACAAAATAGTGGAGGAGCCATTTTGCTGTGTTTGCCACGCAGATAGCTTGGTAATATTCCCTTCTCACACCGTACCGATGTACCCCAAAATCCAGCGAGTGTTGGAGCAACTGGTGGATGGCACCACAATGTACGATCTAGAAGATATGTTGTCCGCACACCATTCTGCTGCGGAATGTCTTTTTTATTTGTATTCCTTTAGCATGACATGTGAAAGCAAATGTGTATTCCTTTAGCATGCACATGTCATGCTAAAGGAATACAAATAAAAAAGACATTCCGAAGCAGAATGGTGTGCGGACAACATATCTTCTAGATGCCACGTAGATATGACCACTGAAATTAATGGAGCAGTGCGGCAAATGCATGTTCGCGGGACGTAGGTGTGAAATAGGCCTTATTCTTTACTCATAATTAGCTTGGGAGGGCCAATCAGGAAGCCGGCCCTTTGTCCCTTAGGTTTGCCACTGGGTGCACTGTAGTCAGGAAAAGTGATATTAAAGGATATTTTCCCCTCCCCCAATGTTAGTGTAAGGACTTGCTTTAAATCATGCCTCTTAATCCGATCATCTTCTTCTTTCCTGTAGTTTTCAGCTGTCCCTCCAGCGCTGGTGCGTGTCTCCGATCCAGCGCTGACTCCTCTGTCCTCCTCTTCTCTGATGTCCCACGGAGTAGGAGCGGGTGCACGCATCTCCATATACTTACCTTGTGTCTCTCCTCCTCTCCCGGCCGAACATCTGAACTGCGCATGCGCCCGCCCCAAGATCTTTTGCGGACGCCCGAGAAATGTTCTGATTTTTCAGACGGGAGCGCGCCGTGGAGACACAGGTAAGTATTAACCCTTTGCAAAAGTTTTTTTTTTTAAATCGTTCTGCATATATCTACTGCTTGCTAGCAGTAGATATATGCAAAAAAAGTGAGGGTTTGATAACCCTTTAAGTCTGGGGCACTCCATCCTTCACACTGTGCCTGGATCATGTGTATCACAAAGCTCTACAGCAACAAAACATAGTAATGTGCGGTGTGGATGACAGACCCATTTTAATGACAGTAACAGGTATGATTTAGTGGTGAAAATTATTAGTGCCCCCCCCAGTTTTGACTGTGATATCTTATGTGCCCCCCCCTATACATTGTTCCTAGAGTCGCCACTGCACTCGGGTGACACCATTGCAGGGGTGACAGCGAAATAACTGGTAGTTATTTTGGTGTCACCACCTCTAAAAAGTCGGGCACTCGGTCATGGGCAGGAGAGAGTAGGGGACCCGTCGACCCCTCCTCTCTCTGCCGGCATCCATCACCAAGATGGCCGCCGGCAGGCGTCAATCAGATGGCCGCGCATGCGTGATGACATCATGAGTTGTGTTTAGTGTGCATTGACGCACACGCTGAATGCACTAGAATGGACATTACTTTTTTTGTGCGCCTTTTTGTCCACAGCAGGGGCCAAAATGCTTTGTTCTTTGTGCTGCAGTGTGCTGTGATGCATCATAGTTAGGGTTGCCACCTTTTCTTCAAGCGAAACACAAACACTCTAGCAACACGCGAACATTTCTTTGGGAAGAATGAGTGGTGGCTTATTCATATGTACATAGCGCCACCCATTCGTATGTAAATATCATAGATGAGACTATTTTCATTGGGGAGCCAGTAGTCCCTATCTTAGGTTTGGTTGCCCCTGTCTGCCTGACATGTTGTGTCCGGGTCTCTGCTGCCATGAAACTCGGACACAGCATTCAAAACCCGGACTGTCCGGGTGAATCCTGGACAGGTGGCAACCCTAATCATAGTGCGTTGCAGTGTGTTATGCTGCATTTAAGTGCAGCTTGATCTATTTTTACCCAGCGTACACCAATGCACTACGTTGGAGTGAACTGGGCCTATTGGAAACAATGAACTTCAGCTTGGCATTCAGCTTGAGCAAAGCAGCCCAATGCACATGGTGTGAATGGGCCCTAAAGCAAATTATTTCACTGGATTGAAGAACCCGGCAAAGAAAATAGTTAATACTTACCTTTCAGGCCACCCACTGTGCCAGTCTTTGCTTCTTAAAGAGTTACTGCTGATGGGTCTTCATAATCTGGCCCTTCTGGGAGTGTTGGACCCCTGGCCCCCCTCTATGCTGCAGATCACATTAGTGACGAAGTGGGCGGCAGAGGGAACAATAGCATGATATCTGAAACATTGTAAATTTGTGGGATGCTAAAGATTCTTCAGCAAGTGAAGCTCTCCCAGACAGTTAAAGGAGTTCTAAAGTCACGTCACCCATGTCCTGGTGACATGACAAGTGTAAGAATGTGTCAAAGTATTCCTGGGACAGGAAGTGAGGGAAAGCTCCTCAACAGAACCCTGACCCTTCCTTACGATGATTGCGTATTTTTTGTAAGGCGTAGTAATTGCCCAATTATAGCCTGCCGTAGTTCTACAAATGCCACCAATAGTATTTACTCTGTCTAGCAATCTTTTCTTCTAAGCCTTGCAGATGTCCTGTTTTCCCAGGTCATTCACTCTTCTGTTTATGTCCTGCGGTTTGTCATGTACAGTATGTGCTTTATTAAAAGAATGCTGGGAAACAAATCTACTGAGCTGTAGGAACGATCTGCTTTGCTTTATACATGTTTAGACTTAAAGGGTATCTATGATCAAAAACTAAAAAGAGATCTGTATTTCTATATTGCATTTCTGTAAATTCTATCCAACTCCTAATAATAATACCAATTTAGAAGTTTGTAAACATACTTATTGAAGATGCCCATAGGATGTACTTCCTCAATGCATGGACACAATTTCACTCAGCCCTGTGAATATGCACTTCCTTGTATCACAACTTACAGAGCCTGCCTTCTTAACTACAACTCAACGTCTGAACAATGTAACATTATTATTGCTTGCTGGAAGCAATGCATGGTGGAATATGTAGTCTTGAGAAATGGAGATTACATCACATCAAGCAGCAGGGAAAGAGGCTCACAGCACACTGGGAAACCAGGAAGTTGTTGAAGGGGATGGGCAAATGGAAGGCAGCACTCACTACATAAAAGTAAGCTTTGATTGCATTATCAAAAACAACTCTAGTATGTATTCTTATTACAGCGCTGATGTTATAACAGGAGAGGCTATGCTGGGACTTTACAACACCTTTAATCAGGGCTTAATTTAATGTA